CTGCTGGCATAGCTGAGATTGAGAGGCATGGAATCTCATCAGATTAACCAGAAAGATTAATATAGAAGAAAAGTCAAAGTCTGCAATTTGAGGCCTGGAGCATTCCAGTACTCAGAAGCTGGGAGGATAATGATGATTCAGAAAATCACTAAGAAGAATCAGGCAACCAGTGAGCCTGTGAACCAAAAGAGGCTAATGCCCCTACAGTAAACCCAGCTGGTTCACAGAGGGCCAGGAGATCAATTGTCCCAAAGGCTGCTAATAAATTGTCTCCAATGAGAACTGTAAAGTGGCCATTTGATTTAGCAATATAAAGGTCAATGGTGACTTTGACAAGAGATGCTTGGGGGAATGTGGAGGACATGAGGGTCATTGAAAGAGGTTCAATAGAGCTTGGGGGACAGGAAGTAGGGAGTAAAGGTGATTCCTACAAGGAGTGCTGCATTGAAGAGAAATAGATAATACTTATGACAATGGCAATGTACAGGAGAGGAGAAACTTCGTAGTGAATCAGAGAGGGGGAAATGGTCGAAGTGATGTGATGCAGTAGAGGGAACTGGTAAAGAACAAGGGAAATTGTTGGTTTTACATAAGAGCAGATGATTCACCTGCCATCAGGAAAAGAAAGGCACAGTGTATGGGCAGATGGGGACAGATTGGTGCATGGAGGCGTGGGGCCTGTGGAAACTGCTGTGGCTTCAGCTTTGCCAGTGAAATGTGAAGCAAGTCAACCTCTGAGAATTAAACTTGGGGAAAGAGTGTTAATTTTTGGAGAATGAAGGAAGTCTGAAAGAGGTACTTGGAAACTGGAGGCTGAATTAAACAAGAAAATTGAGAATAACCAGAAAACACTAAGGACCCACTTGAAGTTTGTGTTTATGAGTTAAAAAAATAATAAATCAGTGAGAGAGGTTGCTATTTTTCTTAATCCCTAGCTACAAATAGATGGGTGGAGGAGTTGAGTAGGCATGGAGTTAAATTTAATTGGGGAAGAAACTGGAAAAAATTGAGTTTACAATACATGAAAAGAATGACTGTAATAATAGATCATGAAGATTGTACTAGTCAGGGTCAGCAGGAGTATTTTGCAGCAGCAATTAATGTCATAGATCTAATTAACAGGACAGTGATGTATTTCTCATTTACCCTGCAGACAGTGGGACACAACAGAAGGCCCTCCTCCCTGGCTCTGTCCAGGCAGAGATGTAGACATCCAGAAAGCTCCGTCTTACATCGCTGTCTCCCTTGAGTCTGTTCTTGTGTCAGATACACCAAAGAGAGTTTGGTTAGAAGATGCACATCAACTTGTAACCCCCTTGACCTAGAAGTGCCACAGCATTCTACGGGCCCTAACTAATCTCATGGCCATAAGTGAACAGAAAAGGGATGCAGAAAATTTAAAAGAGAAAGGGATTATTTTATGAGCATCAATGGTCTGCTCCACATGAATGAAGCAAAATAAGAAATAAAATGATAAGACTACCCTCATCGTTACTATAGTAGAAAACTGATGCCAAGCATGATTTTTCGTGGGGCCAGAGATTGTTCCAGGTTAGCATCTGTTCTAGTCGTTTGTGGTGTATATCAAACATCACAAAACTTAGTGTAAAATCACCATTTCACTGTGCACATGGATTCTGCCCATCAGTAACTGGGAAAAGGCTCAGTAGCATCAACTCTTCTCACTTCTATGTCTAACCTTTGTAACATCTGGGGTCTCAGCGAGACCACTGTAGTGGCCGAGGGTGACTTGACTGTCTGGGGCTGAACAGCAGGAGCTACAGCAATCACTTTCACAGTGGCTCTTTTGCTCCTATGAATGGTGCTGAGGGTGGGATCTCTGAGGGACAGTATCAGTTTCCACTGTAGAGCAGAGTAGCTAATGTGGCAGCTCAAATATGTTAGTCACAGAGAAGTCCAGTGTTTTACACAGTGGCTCTGGACTCCACAAGAAGATAGTAGAGCAGAAGTTTCCAGGCTGGCTCAGACACGGGCATACCACAGCACTGAGTGGTTACGTTCTGCTGCCTATGATCCAGTCACTAATACCAGCCCATGTTCCAGGAGAGGACAACAGGGCTGTACCTCATGACAGGAGCAAGGCAGGGTTGCACTGCAGAAGAGCATGTGGAAGGGAACTGCCAGCCTGTGTGTCTTCAGAGATGTAATTGGCTGTACAGCAAGGGAGCTGGAAAGACAAGACAGGGTTTAGATGTGCCTCAGATAAAGGTTGAGAAGAGATTGTTCTAGTCAAAATGACAATAATTTGATCATACTGCTGTGGGACACCAGTGGAAGGTTTGAAAACATTAGAATTTCAAAGGTCTGAGAGGCCTGCATAGGGAATGGATTTTCCATGTAGAATTTAAAATCCTCAAAAATTATAAGTATTGTTGTGACAACCATAGAGGCAATGAATTGCATGTTAAATCCTGAGCAAATGGGAGAAACTGACCCTAAAGTCCATATGTAAATGCAGAAGGAAGAGTAGTAATTTGCATAGTATGTGATAAGGCTTCAAAGTGGGGTATTTTTATGAAGGACAAACAAACAGTATCTGTGACTCCTGCGAGAATCAGGGACAATAGCTGTAACACTCTGAGGTCCATAGTATGAGAGAGGTGGGAGAATAACAGAACCTCCCCTTGAGCAGACTCAGGTGGCAGTCTGCAAGAAGCAGAAAGTTTTCCTTAGAGCAAGAAGGTAAAGATAATACTTGGAGAGAGATTTTAGTATTTTTTTTTGTTTGTTTTGGTTTTTTCTTCCGGTACCAGGAATCGAACTCATGCCCTTGTACTTGCCAGGCAGGCGCTTTTGCCACTGAGCTAAATCCCCAGCCCCTGGAGAGAGATTTTAGAAGCAGGGAACCTTGGTGATGACAGACTGACATCCAGAGAACACTGGTTTAAGAGGTTGGAGGGATGAGAAAATGTGTGGATCTGTACAGGAATGAGGGTCCCAAGCAAAGGCCTGGGTCTCAGAGGCCTTTACCTCTCCTCTTTGAGGAGAGGTGTATGACAGTAGAAATAATGATCCCTTTAAGGGTTTTCATCCCTAAACCAAAGGAAGAGTTCCAGTGACCTCCAAGGACCATCCCAACCTCAGGCCCACCATTCTCTATCTGACTTGTGTCTTACCTCCCCAGGTCTTCACATATGTCACCTTGGTAGTGGAAAAATCTGTGGCCAACTTCTCAAACTCCAAGTGCTTTGCTGGCATCTTTCTCCCACCCTGCCTCAGATTTCTCCTGAGAGCTCTAAGATACATTTCATTTTTCAATTTGCCTCTATGTGCTTCCCCTTAATAGAACACAAACCCTACAAGAGTACATGTTTGCTGTTACCTTCACCACTGCTTCTGGTACTTAACGCAGTCCCTATCCAGAGTAATCACTCAAAAATGCATGCACAGGTGGGGGATTTAGCTCAGTGGCACAGCAGTTGCCTGGTAAGCACAAGGTGCTGAGTTCAACTCCTGGTTCAAAAAAAATGCTTGTGCAATTAAGGAATACGTGTTCTCTTAGTGTTTCTCAAGAGAGTTCTGACCTATTAGAGAATTGTCTAGTCAATATAATGTGTTACAGCCAGCATTTATATAAGAAAAAGAAAAGAGAGCAGACAGGAATGGGAAACATCAGGCGGTGTTGTGCACAGGAAGGTATCATATTGTCTCATCCAGTATTGTTTTTGTTTTAATCTGTCTAGAAATTTCTGTGGACTGATTTCAGAAGTATGTAATGGGGTCAGGTGGGATTTACTGATAAGAAAAGCTGCTGAGGAAATCCTCAGAAGCATTGGTAGGGTATCCCTCCACCCTGCTGGAAGCAGAGTCAAGAAGGGACTGCATTGCCAGGGACAGAATAAAGTTCTGTTTCCTATACACTTTTATTTCCCTAACAATGAGCCAGCGCAATGCTTTGCACATAGAGGAATCTCTAAGACTTGATTGACTAAAGTTTTTTAATGATTATGCTATAGTACTGGAAAATTTCCCAGTAAGCTGATGTTGCCATGGGGCCAGTTTTACTTAGGGTCATTAAATGCATCCAAATCCTTCCCAAAATAACTCCATTGCTGGAGGAAGAGAGAGGACCTTATTACAGCAAGAAGAGTGTGTAGTTGAAGCTATTTCTCAGCCATGTTAATTGCAGTCACGCTGCTTTGCGCGGTAAGCAATTAGCTCCTCTGGGAGATGCTGGCTGACAATGTGAAAATGTCCCTGTGCTTAGGGGCTTGGAGCCAGGAGATGCAGAGTCCAACCAGGTTCCATCTCTTAGCTGCTAGATGACTGGGGCTTCCTTTTCCTCACTTGTCCATTAGATGAAGAAATTGGGCTGGTAGCGCCATGCCATCTCTTCCATTCTTTTCTTTAACCATGGCATCATTTATTTGAAACTTATGCTACAGGGCATCTGGTCTAGATTTTAGCTTATTGTGAACTAGAATATGGTCTCCTTGGTATCTCTGCAATTATCTCAATCACCCTAGTAATAAGCATTTATTAAACATGAGTTCTCAATAGCTTTCATATCTGATAGAGTTCTTAGGGCAAGAAATGTTCCACCTTTTGTTGTTTCTCACTGGGATATTTTAATATCCCCTCTTTGTTTCTTGTTTTGATTTCCTTATATTGATCTATGTTCTTCTTTAGTAGCTTTGATGTGGGCTTTCAGAGGCAGAACTTTTTAAGGCGTTAAGCCATTGTCTCACTAATTTCTTGAAGAAAGAGAACTTGGCATAATGAATAAGATGTTGAGTTTCACATCAAGCATTTGTGATAGCACTGATTAGTATGTACTTTTTGTTGTACATTATTACCCAATATTAGTAGTAATTAATCCCTGGCTCCCTAACGTTCTGCATTATCTTTGGAATCCGTTTCTATCTCTTATATATTTGGCTGGTAATGAGCATCCTGAAGTGCTGAATGGAGTTTACGAATGAGAACAACTGCTGTTACACAACACGATTTTACTCAGCGTGAGAAGCATATGGATTTATTTTGGTGATCATGTTTATCTCAAGAGTAGCTGATATGTCAGCTTAGACTTTTAAAATGGAAAGATGTGTAAATATGCTTCATGCCATTCAGTGTATGCTGTCTTTTGGTTTACATCTTGAATCAGATGGCAAATCAGAATGGAATACTGAGGAGGCAAGGAAATGAATTCTTCATCAATTTATCTGTCCACACCAGTGAGATTTCCATGTAAAGTGTGACATCCTAAACTAAGTACTATGTTCAGTAAGTCAGTACAGTCTTAGTTAAGAATATTTGCCAATCATATTTAAAACACCATAAGAAAACATGCAAGTGGAAGAGAGCCATATTAGTGAACGACAGACACCATGGCAGGAAAGAAAAGGATATAATTTTACCAGAGAGAATTGGGTATAAGATTGGATCAGACTGCTCTTTAGTAAAAGAAAAAGTATGCTTGGGAGGAAACAAATTAAATGACTGTCTTCATCAACTCCAAACTAGAAACTATCTCAAAAAGGTCTCAAAAAAAGAGATGCTTGAAATGTACATCACTTGTGGGTTTTGGAAGGAGATTGTGATGAACCTAAGGAGGACTCATTCATAACGGCAATCTGACAGATGCCCCCTCTGCACTTTTGTCATGCCCTCCCCTGTCCCTACTATGCTCAAGTGTCAGGGCAAGTTTATATATGTTACTGTGGTGTCAGTGCCTGGCAAGTAATAATTGACTTGCTTAATGATTTAATAGTCACAAAATATTATTTCTTTCTCAAATAATTGTAATTAAAGCTTAATTGTTATGAAATAATTGCTTATCATTAACTAGTTCACAACAGAGTGTTTTAAAGTAATGAATGTAAATTAGAAAATGAAATTGTACATAGTCTTTCAATAACTTTAGAACAGTGGCTTTTCAACAAAACCTTTGACAGTGATTCAGGTGATGGGGAACTTTGAATTTTCAAATGTGAGAGTTTCAAAGCTGTATCTTCTCTTTGCTGCTCCATTGTGTACTTAAAAGTATTCAGGTGGCCACTGCAACATGAGAATTGATTCCTTACCCACCAAGAAGTAAGTAGGGCCACTGTTTTCATTACATAAGCAAGTAGTCACCAGAACCCTATTTCCAAGGCTGTTATGAACCAGGATCACAGCCTGTATTTCTTGACTTTCCCTCCCAGGTACATTGAACTGTTCTCAAACTCAGCCCTGGGGTTCTCTGGGGTGTACAGGGGTTCTGCAAGACTTGAGGTAGTAGGGCTACTATTCTCCCAGATTCTGGCCATAGACTCCCCCTGACTTTTTTACATGATAATTTCCAAGAAAGATTTAGTTTGGATAAAACTTGGCATGGATTTTTGAAAAGTGTAAAAACCATCAGTCCTCTATCATTTTATATGCCTCCTTTAAAACAGAATGGAAGGTAGAAGCTAAGTGTGAGATGAACTAAAAGTGTCTCCTAGCCGGGTGGTTCTTCACTGAACCATTGTATCTAGATACTTCCTGTTGGCAGTGTTTGGAGTATTCTAGAGGTGTCATTTTACTCGACACTTTCACTTTCTCTCCAGTAGACAGCTTAACGTAATTCAAAGAGTTGGAGACAGCGAGGACTTGCTGTTGCCTGAGAAATCTGAATAAGATTCAATTACAGAACTACCTGTTCCCTCACTAAAGTCCAGACTTTGCATGTTTGTCTCACAGGTCAAGAAATAGTATTATAAAGGCACAGTGGCAAAAGCCAATTCCCTATGTAAGCATCCCATTGACCTAGTTGAGAGATCTGGTAAGCTCTCCACAAAGTGGTTTACATAGGCCCTCTAATTTTGCTTCAGTTATTACTAAGAAGGTTTGTGATGAGCAGGAGTGAAGGTAGAGAGATCGTGAATCTCCTGCTGCCTTCAGAGTGCAGACAGAACTCCCACCTGGCCTTCCTGACTTGGTGCCATTCTTCCCTGGGAAGTCCCATGCCCAGGAAGCTGCCGCTAACCTTTCTGGCCATCATTCTGCAGAGGTCCCTCCTCTTGTGGATAAACTTTCTCCAAGACAAGTCAGTATCACTGACCAGATGCGCAAATGAACTAAGCAAGGAATGCTTCTGCTGGGACCCGGAGATGTTCTTACTTCTGATCAAATGAGTTTTATCCTCAAAGAGTGTCCATTTTTTCAGGATTTCCAAATGTTTGAGGTTCTTCCCAACTGTTCCTCTTGGTGAGCTTTCTAAGGTGTCTCTCTTAGTGTGTGTGTTGTTTATTTCAGCCTTATATCCCTTCACCCATTCTAAATCTTCTAATCTTATCCTGAAATGTGAAACCCCTGAAGCAGTAATAGCACAATTTAGGTGTGAGATTCTCTACCCAAATGTCCCCACCGACACGCAGTTACCACCCAGCCCTGCGTCTTCTGCTTTATGTTGGTCTGCTCAAGTGAGAGATGCTCATCCATATGCCCCACATAGCCTCTAGATAGCTCTGAATCCCAACCTTCTCCACACTGTGTTCTGACCAAAATAAAAGTGATCTGTGTCCAGCTACACAATGCTGTTTCCTGTCTCATTATGCTCCTTTCTCTTGACGCCCCCGTGAACATCTCCTTTATTCTAGTTTCCAAAGCTAAAATGTCCTCTATTGAATGTCATCTTTTTAATGATATCCAAACTCATGAATGACGGATGCCTTTCCTTGCAGCTGACCCTGTTTACATGCCTATTGTCCTCTGTCATGCAGGGTTGCAAAGCCTGTATTAAAGAACCAAGTCTTACTATTTTTGTATCCTGAGGCATTAGTAGAGGACCTGCACAGTGAAGAAGGCATTTCTGGATTATTTTTGGACTGATAGAGGGGAGGACTTCTGTATCATTGGCTAACCATGCATGATGGCCTCCACCTTGGATTCCTGGCCCAGGACCTGTGCTGGAAACCTTCTACTTACCTACCCTCTCACCCCTAGAGTCTTCTCTTTCCTTTACACTGGAGGGCTGACTCCTATCATCAGTATCACCAAGTCACTCGTGTCTTCTGGCTTTCTGTTGAGTTTGGCCAGTATGGGTCACTGCCAGAAGAGAGTAGGGCAGAGGGAGACAGAGGTCAAGACCTCCCATCCATAAGGTACCTGCTTTGGCATTACATCTTTGGCAACATTCTGTTCTGATAAGAAACCCCTCTTCCACATGCATAGCTTCCACTGGGCCATGGGAGTATTATATTTTGGTGTTGTTTATTCCTTTAGAATTGAAATAGCTAAGAATTTCTTGATCTTGATAGCCTTTAGGCACCCCCATCATCCTTTGTTTCATTGTATTTCTCCCAGCTCTGCTCACATCTGTGTGAATAGTGCCTTGGTATCTAGGTCCTTATGGTATTTGCACCATCTGAGGGATGTTTGTGTCTTGCCCAGTCTCTCGATGTGGTACTAGATAAGATACAATACCTAGGGTCCTCTTGGATCAGCAGGCTTGCCCTGACTCTTGCCAGGCACCCTTCTCCAAGGCAATAGATCCTGCTCTCTGCCAGCCCACCTCAGCCATTTGGGGATCTGGGAGAGGTCTGCATTGCCTGCCTAACCTCAAATGTCCACTGATGCTGGGACATATTTGCCTCCATACTCTGCCTGCTATTTGGACACCTCAAGTTCACAATGTCCTCAACACATCATGCATTATATCACATTTCAGAGGCCAGTTTTTTGCTGAGATCCACACCACCTTGGAAAAAGTTGAGCTGGGTATGAATGGAGACCACCTTCTCTACGAAGCAAGAATTTGAAAATTATCTCATTGGAGAATTCCATTTCCTCACAGCCATTTTTAGGTCTTCATGGCTATTTTCTTCCTCTTACCTAGTTTAAGCTAAAAGTAGTTTGACATAAAATTGTTGCCTTTCAGTCAGACTTTCCAGTTATACATAAAAGAAGCTGCCTGTCCTTGTTTTGTGCCATGGTTCCTGTGCTTTGCAGCTAAATATAGCATTGGCACTCTTTCCTGGCACACACACCACGAACTTCTAGCTAATGTGCTGTCCCCTCGCCCTGCTGTCCTTTCAGCCTCGCTGCTTTCCAAGTATTTCCTTCTCACTGAGTATCTCTGCCTCACTCCCCACAAAGCTGTTCATGTTCCATGTTTAAGGTTGACACATATCCTCCTAACAACCTCTCTTTTTCTAGAAACCTAATTTCTATCTTTGGATAGTAGTTGTATTATTCTTTCTTATTTCAAAACCAACACATACTCGTGATAGTAAAATGTTCAAACAAGTATAAGACCATCTGAGACAAGAGATGACAAAATTTTTCTATATTTCTTGAATACATCCCTAGACACTTAGATAGATATACAGAAATATAAGCCAAAAGTGAAGTCATAAACACCATCTTGGAGCCTGCTCCTCCATTTCATGGTAAATCAAGAATTTTTATACATGTAGACAATTTATAGAACCTCTGTGCATACTATTTTTACTTATGGTTTCTAGTCAGCACATGTGTGACTACTCCTCAGATGAAGGAACAGAACATTGCCGGCATTCAGAGCCTCCGGAGCCTCTCTTCCTTACCAATCCCCCTCTCTTGCGATCACTAGGATCCCGAATTACATACTAATCAGCAGTTAACTTTCTGTTATCCATTCCCTGTACAGTGTGGTCAAAAATGTTGTGAATGTTTAAGTTTTTAAAATGATTACGATGAAAGCCATATTACCATCAATCCCTCTAGAAACACTTCTGCTTGCTTCAGACTCGTATCCCATCATGCTTGCTATTTTCTGGAGCAGTTCAGGAAGTCCTGTTTCTGGAGTGTCGTGAGCTGTGCTCTCCTGGCTGCCCTGACATTCTTGACGGATTCAAAATTTTTACTTTTCATGGTCATTTTGACTTGGGGAAACAGCCAGAAGTCACATGGTGGGAGATTCAGTGAATAAGGTGCACAAAGACACACCATAATGTTTTTAGGAGACTTCTTTTCTGTTGGGTCACACTAGCTGAATTCATTGCAAATTTTTTATCACAGCTCGTAAAAACACTCATGAAAGAGGACTTCCAGGCCTGTTTCAGAAAGCAGAAAGAATGATTAGATGATTGTGTTCAAAGTAAGGGGATTATTGTGAGGGACATTAATGACAATGCATTTTACTATAATAAATATTTTTATTTAAACACTCACCATATATTTTGATCACCTCTTGTATGTTACTATGTGCGTGCTTTTGTGTGTGCAAGTGAATTATATCTTCTTGATGAATTAAATATTTTGTCAATATAAACTCACTACCTGTATTGTTTTAAAATAAATTTATTTTAAAGTAAATTTATCAGAATAATTTGTTTGCAGATAGTAAGGAAATGTTTGCTATTATTTCAAGATTAACCTGTTTTCTCAGATTTTCCATATCACTTTATAAATTGTATACAGCAGAATGTGGAAGTTTTTCCAGGCTAATGATTTTTGCCTCTTTGCTGAAGAATTCAGTACTTTAAGCTCTTTCAGTATAATTTTGGATGTCTTTGGATTTAAATCTACCAGCTTATTTTTCTGTACTCTATTGTCTCAAAACCAAGACATGCTGACTTGGGTTATATTCTTACTCTCTCTTTCTCCTCATTCATCTTTTGAATTGAATGAATATATTTTTAATTCCATCTTTTCCTTTTACAAGTTTCAGAGTTAAAATTTTGCTTTTGCTTTTGAGATTGCTTTACAAATTACATGAAAATACTCAACTGACCAAAATCTAAAATTACTCAAAAGTTTTGTTTTTCTATCTTCTATAAAAAATACTTATCAAATGATTGAACTCCATTTAGACTCCCCCTTACTTACATGTTGTTATCTTGCACTTTAATTCTAGTCTTGCTTTTTAACCTCCTTAGACAGCACCATTCCTACCCCTACACATATTTACCTGTCTTATCACTTCCTCTTGCACCTCAGATCTCTCATCGGGGGTCACTTCTCTAAAGGACACTGTTCAGTTCCTATATGAATGCTTTGCTGTTGGTAAACTCAGTTTCTTGTTTGTTTTTTCACTGAAAATTCTCTGCCTTTACACTTGAAAGTTGTTTTTTTTCTGAGTAGAGAATGCTTCCATTACACTGAAAATAATTCTCTATCATTTTTATTCCATTACCTTTTTCCTTTGACTGCTTTAAGATTATTCTTTCTCTCTAGATGTTTACAGTTTCACTATGATATATCTATATGGGGCTTCTTTGTGTACTAAAGAAGACTTTGCATAATGCCAATGAAGATTCACTGGTACACCCATTTTCTTAGATTACTTCACTTTACAAACTTTAAAAATTATTTGCTTTACCTAGTCAGATATTATTTCCATCTTATTTTTCCCTTCTCTCTTGGGTTCCAATCAAACAATGTCACAACTTCTCCTCTCCTTTACACTCCTTTCTGAATTTCCCCTCGGTCTCTATGCTGTCTTCCATTCCTTCAGTTCCAGGGAATAATTTAGTGATCTTCTCTTTTATTGTACCTACACTATTACAAACATACCTAGTAAAATTTTAACTTTATTAAATGAGTCTTCTACGTCTACTAATTTTATTTCAGTCTCTTTTGCATTTTGCACCTTTTCCCTACTATCTGCAGATGCTTTCAAGGTTAGAACATATTTTCTGACATACAAGCCATTTCCTAAGCTTTGTGTAATTATTCTGTACCTGAGGTCTCTGAGGCTCTACTGTTGTCTGCCTTGTATGTGGAAGCCCCCCTACTTCCTTGTGTGCCTGAGTTTCTATAAATGAGTGGTACTCCTTATCCTTGGAAAAAATGTCTGAGTATTTCAGATTCCCAGGATAGTATTTTCTCTTGTGTCATCCCTTAAGGTGACTGACTCGAATCCCAGTGGTTCAGTATGGCAAACACCAGTCTGAGAACAAAATATAGTTGCTGGCTGTGAAATTTCAAGTAATTTCCCCAGATTTGGCCTTGCCTTTAAATTCTCCATTATATTTGCAGCTCTTCCATGGTTTACAGATGTTAAAATTGGCACACTTGGATTCATTTTTCAGTAGTACTCTTTTCCTGTTCTGACCTAACAGGTTGATGCAAATAATCAAATCTTGTAACATCAAAAATCAGAAGTAGTGGGCATGGGGATTTTGCTCAGTGGCACAGTGCCTGCCTGGCAAGTGCAAGGTCATGAGTTCAATTCCAGGTACTGGAGGAAAAACAAAAACAACAACAACAACAAAAATCAGAAGTAGCTAAGATGGCCCTTTAAATGGCTAGATATTGATCTAAGCCTTGTTCTCAAACCATCACTCTTTTAATCTCTTTCAGATTTACATGTGCTCTGTACTTAAAGTAATAATTGTCTCTAACAAGACTTAGTCTTCACATCATTTCATACTGATAATTTGTTAATTACCTTTAGTTTTGATCTGGTCGATAATACCCAAATACAAAATTTTTGAGATTGCAAAATTTTCAAGATTGCTTTTACCGTAAGCCAGTAATTATTTTCCTTTGATGCCCTGGCATCATCTCTGCCACTATGCAAACTTTACTCTGAATGTGCAAGTGAAATGCTGCACAACACAAGTGTTATGGTTGGTGTCTGGATGTCCCCTCCAAATCCTCATGCAGTCATGGGGTGAGGCTTCTAGGATTTGTGATTGATGCATGGACCAGTGCTGAGATTATGGGTGTGAGTGCTACACCCACCCTGGGGCAGGTAGTTTGCATACAATGTAAGGGAGGGAAAGAGGCTGCTTGCTGCCTTTCCTCTCTTTTGCTCTTGTTGCTTTTGCTGTCTTCCATGAATATTTGCTCTCTTCCATGTGCCACTCTGCCTCAGAGCCAACTGAGTATGGACTGAAACCTCCACAGACTGTGAGCTAAATAAACCTTTCCTTCCTTAATTTTGGGTGTCAGGTATTTTGTCTCAGCAACAAGAGAAAAGTAACCAAGACAAGACACAAGGGAGAATGGCTTTATGATACCACCTATGTGGAGTGATATTAAATAGGCCTTTTCCAGTGCTGCGACTTTCATGTCCATGATCACATGGTTGGGAAGGTACCAATCTGTACACCAGTGGA